CCTCACCCTGTGACTTGTTTTCGTCCCATGACTAACACCTTCACTCTGTGCCCACACACACCTTATGACTGACACCCTCACTCTACGACTGACGCCTTTACTCAGTCCTGTTTGGTCGCGACTTCCAGTCTAGTATCAGAGACAAGCTGTCTGCGGTAGAGGTTCGGTGTTGTGACAAAACAGTATAAACAGTTTACTTCTACTTCTGTCATGCGTCCTTTCTTTGTCTTGACTTCCTTTTGTATAGCTAGCTACGATGAAAATGTCGTTCCCCGCCTCCTTCAAGAAGACGACACTACGGGGATCGTCGAAGAAGCCCATAATATTTTGAACGAACAAGCGAATGCAGTGCAGGACCAGCCAGTGGCGACTATCAACCTACCGACGATTGCCACAAACGGATTGAGCAACATCACCGCTTTCTCGAACTCGGTGAGTAACCAGCTGCAGCAGCTCCAGCAACAGCAGAACAACTTGACGCAAGGTCTTCAACAAGGTCTGACTCAGGGCAACTTGACTCAGGGCAACTTGTCTCAAGGCAATTTGATGCAAGGCCTGCAGCTGGGTAACTTTACTGTCCCCGGACTCAACGGCTCCGGACTAAATGGTACTGTTCTAGACCCGTCTGCACTTCTGGGTTCAGTGACTACCTCGTCGTCGACTGGGACTCCTGCCTCGACCGGGGCTCTAGCCTCGACCGGCCTGAATGCTCTAATCGGACAAGTGGTTCCTTCCGCAACAGGCGGGTCGTCCGTTGTCAACAGCACAAGCACCACTGGAGACATTAGCGCCCTTGTCCGGCAAGCACAGCAGCAGTTACAGAACCAGTACGCTCAGTACGTTGCTCAGCTGCAACAGACCGTAGCGAACAACAACCTTTCGGCTTCCTCGTTGAGTTCGGTCCTTGGAGCCCAACCCGCTACTTCCACGGGCGTTACGATGAATGGTGTAAACGCCATTACGGCTAACACGACCAGTGAAGGCGACAAGGCTCTTCAAGGCATGGGGGGGCTCACCGAGACTAACTCCATGGCAAGTGACCTTTCCAATACGCTCAACAACAGTTTGAACGCCCTCACAGGAGGACAGAGCAACCCGTTGGGTTACCTTTCGCAAGACTTGACAAACTCACTTCAGAACAGCTTGAACGGCTTGTATGGTCAGAGTAACGGTCTTGGCGACCTTACCAGCGGCATCACCAACGGTCTCGCTAACACTCTGAACAATGGGCTCAGCAATAGCCTCGGTAGCTTGAACAACGGCTTGAGCAATAGCTTGAACAACGGCTTGAGCAATAGCTTGAGCAACTACAACAATGGGTTGAACAACGGACTGAGCAATGGATTAAACAACCTGAATAATGGAGTGAGCAACAGCCTGAACAATCTGAGTAACGGAAACTTGGCGGGTTTGACCAACGGGCTTGCGAATTACCAGTTACCGAGTTACCAGTTACCGAACCTAAGTTCAGGGAGTCTGAGTCTTCCCAACGCGGATAGTCTTACCAATCAGTTACAGCAGACCCTGGGGAATAGTTTGGGCAACTTGAATCTCGGTAGCCTTGGCTCGAATGGCTTGTCGTACAGCCTTCCCGGCTACAGCTTGAATGATTTGAGCGACAGTTTGAGTCAGCAGATCGAAAATTCGCTTCAGCATGTTGCCATAAGGAGATTGCAGGAGCAGGCTTTGCAACAGCAGGCTTTGCAACAGCAGGCTGTGCAACAGCAGGCTGTGCAGCAAGTCGCCCAGGCCAATCAAGGGCTTCAAACTGTTGCTCAGAACGTTGCTCAGAACGTTGCTCAGAGTGCTGCTCAAAACGTTGCCCAGGAGACTCAGATGGTGGGTCAAGTCGCCCAGGGTGTTCAGCAAGCTGTAAGCAATGGACAAGTGGGCTCCGCAGGTGTGCAGATGGCCCCTACCGGCATTGTCTTGACAGGGTTTCAGACGAGACCCTGGGGTGTGGGTACAGGACTGAATTTTGGTAATGGTTATCCCAGCGGCGCACTTGTCGGTCAAGGCTCGCTTCTGGGTCAACAGCAACAGCAGCAACAACAGCATCAGCAGTATACGGTCAAGGATGTTCTGAATACGTTGTCACAGTCCAGTGCGAATTTGACTCAGGCGGTTCATGAGTTGGCGGATTCTAACATTGATATAAATGGCATCGTGCGAGGTGTGATGACTTGTCACCCTTCATTTGATTACGCCATGCAACAGTTGGCTGAAAGTGGATTGGATGTGAACGCCTTTTTGAAGAAGGTGGTTGATGACAATGTTGACGTGAACACATTGATCAAGGAGCTCGCGTATAATAATCTGTCTGTGGACCAACTCTTTAGGAACTTGGCCAATGGCGGTGTGGACTTCAACAAAGTTCTTAAGGATCTGAGCAATTCGAATCTGAACATCGACGATGGTCTACAGAAGCTGAAGAATACTGGAATTGACGCAGCGATTGTCCTAAACTCTCCAGCACTCCCAGGTATGGTGAATGCAGGCGTTCTAACCAACCCTCAAGTGGCCGACCTACTCAGCAGCTTGCCTTCGGCCGGGAACAAGCTTTGAAGGAAGTAGTCTTAGGCCAAAAGTTCGAAGCAAGCAGAAGTTTTTACTTTGTTGTTAGACTAGAGTGTGTGTAGAATTGCATTATATTAACTGGTCAAGGGGAAGCTGCTCTATAACCCCACTCGTAATGGGACACCACGTATTTCGTGTGAAGTGGGTACTGACGAGTTTGACGGCATCTGTCATCAATGGGCTGAATGGTTAGCTCAAGGTTGCATTGTTGTCGAACATTGGGTCTAGTCAGTTGGTAGAGGTGTTGTCTTCTCGTCCGTAGCAGACGAGCTTATATTTGGAGATGATGTATGGGATATGTTTGAACCAGTGTTGTAAGTCAGATAGGGGGACGGCTTTGAGATGTGACCGTTCAGGTAGTCGGAAGACTCCGACATGGCCGAGAGTGACTTGGTAGAATGAGATTTTCTCTCGAGGGCGTGTGCAGTGTACAGGCAGGACCGGGACGGGATCATCATAATTAGCTGCCCCTGTGACCCAGGCCATGCCTACAAGTTCACCAAGTCGAACTTCGCCACCGGTAAAGATGACGCTAAGATACTCTGTCACCTGAGCCTCCGCAGACTTCTGTGTGGGCTTAATCTCTATCGACAACAACCCCAAACTCTTCTCCTTTTTCACCACCAATAGGTGCGGTAACAAAAATCTGTGAGCAAGAATCACCAACACCGCCGTGTGCCGCGTTCCGTTCTTCGCATATTCCTCTTGCCGCCTCTCCATGTCCGTCGGCGGCCACAAATCTATCAACGTCGCCGCCGACTCGTTCGACACGTCGTACCAGTTCTGAGGAAACACCGACCAATCCTCCATCCTTCCTATTCGTATCCTTAGTTATCCGTAGTCCGAGGTTGGTGTCTGCCTTCTCTCTGTGTAGTTTCGGCCTTCTCTCTGTGCAGTACACAGCGTTGATAAAAATTATGTCGGCCCGGCACTGCCCAGTTAGTAGCAACGCAGCAGTGTGCCTGTTGTATCCACTGCTCAAGTTCGTCACCGTGTTCTGCGGTGGTCGTGACGCGGTGCCCCTCGACGACGTTGAGACCGTACTGCGTCAAGCGTTCAATAACTCCAAACTATACGGTTACTCACCCTTACTCCATGGTGCATTCGAAGAAGAACCAGTTTACGACGACTCCAACTGGGAACAGGATCTTAGCAGCCGCAAACGAGCTGCCCACGACGTCCGAAGAGGCGAAGTTTGGAAGGGGGAGATGGGAAAAAGGGAATTGGGAAAGGGCGAGAGAGAAGTCGGGAATGTCGAAGCCTTCAATCCGCGAGTGCTCAAAACCCGTGCACTTAAGCCGAGATTGTCACGAGTCGAATTCCACTTGCCGGAGCGCAACGACTCCTTTGCTGACGCCGACCCGGAAGACCCAAGTCCGGACGACCCAAGTCCGGACGACCCGAGTCTGGACGTCTGTGAAGATTGGAGCCGTCCCCTTGTTTTTGTGGAAGATATGTTAACCCCGACGCCGGCTAGACGGCACCTCCAACGTGTTTGGAGCGATAGAAGACCGGCCCGGCGGCACGGCATGGCGCTGGGGAGGAAGTGGGGCCGCCAACGGCGATGGGATTGGTGGAGGCGTTTGTGGCGCAATAAGTCGCATAGGGCCCACTGGATCGCGGACGATGTCCTGGCATTCTGGCGGCAGTGCAAACGAAAGGGCTACACTAACGACAAGCAGCTGAGGGACGCCGCCCTTGCTACTACTGGCAACCGTGGGACGGGGAGCTTTATGATGAGTGTAAAGGATATTGACGGTTTGGTTATAGTGGACGAGAACGGTCGCAAGGCCCGGTACCTCGAGTTTTTGGATCCCGGGTACTCTAGCCTGGAGACTGGGTACTCTAGCCTGGAGACTGGGTACTCTAGCCCGGAGACTGCTGATAGGAAGTCTCTGGGGAGACGAACCTCCTCAAGCAGAGGACTGAAGCCGTACTTCCTGAGGCGGTTCTCAGGCAAGCCTCTTGCGGCACAGGTCGTGACCGACGGCGCGACTCGTAGGAGACTCGACTCCTGGGTTTCGCCTGCTCCGGAGCAGGGCAGCCGTCAAGAAAACTACCAGGGCAGACAGTTGCTCCGTACCTTCGGCGGGCCTGCATTCCCTGACCCGACTCACCTTCCTGGCCCTGGTCAGCCGGTCGATATGAACTTTGCACACGACGGAACTGGTGGCATCAGGGACCAGTCGACCTCGACATCGAGAGCGGTACTGAGGACCCACCCGCGGCGACACGACGCCGAGTTGGTCAAAATCGATGTAATCCAGAGTCTTCCAAAAGGGTCTCCGGCCGAGGTGCCTTCACTGGACAGCCCTCAAGACCGTCTGGTCATCCATTTCCGGAGGCGACCGAGCAAGAAACGCTCCACGCTGGGCCGACTCCGTTCCTTTTTTTGTTCGGGGTAACTGTTCTTCGCCCGTTTGTCGGGCTTTACCAAAGGTTCTGGTTGGTGCCCAAGTCTACATCGACAAAGACGACCTTTTGCGATTATCGCTTGCAGCTATCACTCGCAGCTGCCCTCGCTTTTGGCCCTCTTACGGTTCCCTGCTTACTGTTAAAATGTTTCCATTTTTCTAACCCGAAAATGACGCTGGCTGTTGGTTGTTTGACTGCATGGACCGGTGTCCTCTTGAGTTCCCAACTCAACTTATGAGTTAACCAACTCAACTTATGAGTTAACCAACTCCTGTAATTCCCACCCAACTCATGCAGACGTAAGTCTATCCAAAAGTAAGTCGTGTATCTATCCAAAAAGAACACACTACTATGCTGAACAGTACAGCTTCGAACAGTACAGCTTCGAACAGTACAGCTTCGAACAGTACAGCTTCGAGCTCTTGAAGATTACACTTCATTTGCCACAAACGCAGTTCGCACAACATCTTTCTCCACCCGTTCCACATGTACACTTCGGCGTGCACTTGCAGTCAGGAGTGCACTTGCAGGCCGGCGTCTTTCCCGCCGCAGCAGGCGAGCAACAGCATCCGGCGCTCTTAGGGCATCCTGAACAACACTTGTCGTTATTCCTGCAGCAGTCACAACCAACACAAGGGTTAGGAGGAACACAACACGCACAAGCCATCTTCTTCTAGTACTTGTTCAAACTCACCCAGTTTATTAAATTAACCGATCCAAACAGACTGCCGGTCTCCGCTTCTGAGCTGAATGGTTGGCATGTCAGTGGGCAAGGTTGGCTTTCAGTTGTTGTGTCTCGCCCGCCGAAGCTTTTTAATTAAATACAAAGGGAGTTAGCAACCTAGCGATGCAAGCTAGCAGAATCGACACCGAGGGCTCCTCGTATGACGCAGGCAGCACCACGTCAACAGCGGACCAGTTCGACGCAATAATGGCGGACCAGTTGTTATGTCTCGCCCGCTGGGCTGAATAGCTCGTGGTTCGGGACCGGGCGTGTCTGTGTAGACTCAACCTCGTCAACCCGCTGGCCTACCGTCACTTGCCTCTTCTCGCTGTCAAACTCTCCCCCGTTCCCTTGGACACTCATTATACGTAACGGTGGAATGTTAGGTGATATGTATGTCTTCTCCCAAAAACCCAGCCGGACCGGTAGCGTTATGTCTATCTGCCCGTTTTCGTCTCACCCGCCGAAGCTTTTTGTCAAATAGGGAGGGAGTCACAAACCGTAGCAACGCGAGTTACCAGAACCAACACCGAGGATTCTCCCTACGACGGAGACAGCACCACGTCAGCAGCGGGCCAGTACTGGACTGGTTGCCGCTGACGTGGGGTATGCGTATATAGGGCGCTTTCCGGAGTCGACACGCGAGCTTAGCTCGAGCGAGCAGCAGCCCTGGGAGGATAAGCTAGCGAAACGCTAGTGGCTAGACTGTGGGCCTGGATGCCAGCCACCGTCAGAGCGCGTTTGAATGAGTATAGGAGAGGCCCCGGGGTGTAGGAGAGGCCCCGGGGTGTAGGAGAGGCCCCGGGGTGGCGGTAGAGAGGTTTCTGTCGGACGTAGCTAGGTCCCTGTACCCGGACAGCACTTTGCTGAGCCGGTGCTTCAGGTCCTGTGTCTACCCGGCGCCGGAAGAGAATTAGTGGAAAAGTAACGGTGCCCCTATAGAAGGTTTATAAGAATTCAGTGCGTATTAATGGATGAATCAGGACGTCGACCCGAGGCAGGAGTCGGTCAACAGCCGCCCAGCTCCCAAGCGGCCACCATTCGTGCGGAAGGTGGTGAGTCTGAAGGGGTACTTCGTGGCAATGCGGGACGAGATCGACCGCAAGCTGGCAGCGGACAGAGTGGTAACCACAGTGGAGCCTCAAGTAGTTCCACCCCCCCCAGTTCCCCCGTTGGGTCCCCTGCCAGCCCCGAATCAGTCCCCGTCCGAGTACAGTCCTCTGGAAACTCCCCTCGGGGAACCGGAGTGGACACAGGAGTTGCTACGGACCCGGGCACTACGTCGCGCGGAATACCCGAAGGTGGCTCCTCCTCAGGAGTTCCTCAACGAGGTGTTGCAAGCACCGCTGGTTTGGGAGAAAATGTTGTGGGCGTTGCACATCATGCCGATGTTGCCGGAGTACCCGGCGGAGCTGACCCTGGCGGTCCAACGGGTGGAGGGGATAGCCCCGCTCCAATCATCGAGTGCAAGGAAACACGCAATGTCATTATACCGGGTATTGAAGGGATGATCACGGCAGTGCGTATTAGGATAGACAACCCGCGGGTATACCAGGAGTTTCGGGATAACAAGGATTTTCTCGAGGCAACGACCTCAAAGACGTCTATCAATGTAGAAGGATCAGCTGTCCCAGTAGTCGTCAACTCACCCCTTGAACCCATCATGCCCCTGACTTGTAATAAGAAGAGCGTGATTAATAGTGAGCTAGTGAGAGACAGTTTGATGCGTAAAATGGGTGTGGATGGCTTTGTGAAGGGAGTTATGACGATCGAGGCACGTATAGATGTCACTCGCTACCGTGAGATAGCCACTGCCATCGAAAGGATTGACACACTGCGCACTGCGCTACCATTTCACACTCAGGGCATGGCGGCGGCTCTCAGCTTGATGCCCTGGTATTACGGCCCAGACCCGGCTCCTCGTTACCGAGATACGTGTATTCGGACGGGTTACGGACGGGATGTTGTCTACCATACGCCACTCGTGGAGCTCTGGGACATAATAACTCGCGGCACTCGCCAGCGGCGCCCTAGGGCAGCACCTACAGATGATGAGTGGGTAACGGCTATCCGCATCGGGCTTAACGTGGACGCCGAGGATGACGAGGTACCGGCTGAAGAAGATGGAGATGAAGATTCAGAGGAAATGCCCCCGCCTAACCGGGCACCAGACATGGCCGATGTCTTCTATACTGTGCCGCAGGCCTATAATATATCAAGGGACCCTCTCTTCCTAGCATGGCTGTTTCCAGCCCACGGTATCTCAGAGGCAGGTGTTAGCATAACTGGTTGCTCACCCTATGCGGACAACAGCGTCGCCCTTTTTGGTGACACAGTCGTCAGCGCTTCTATGGATGACTTTGAAGCCATCCATGACCTGCGTCGGCGTGGGGTGAATTTGGAAGTGCGTGATCTGGCAGATAGGTTACTTGTGGCGGCGTATGGCCGGAATTATCTCGTTCCGCAGGTGCCCGTATCTTTATTCGTCGCATCCAGACGCATGGAGGGATTTCCGATCGACCTGGTCCCCAAGTATCGCACCGCGCTCAGCAATATCTCAGGCATGAATGAACAGGAGCCCGTGCGCGCCCATACAGATAGAGATAGCGATTTCTATAAGTATTCGGTTCTTGCGTGGTGAGATTGCGGTCCTGTGTCTCCACGATTTGTTGCCGACACGACTGCACCGCCTGACGAGGCTGCAAGTCCGTTACGGCACAAGGATCACGATTCCGGGGATGTTGTTGACGGGCTGGCTTACTCGCAGTCGTCAGTCCCAGTGTGCAGGAACCGGTACGTGCGCACACTGACCGAGACAGTGATTTGCCTTTCCGTAAGTGCGGCACCAACGACCCCCACCACAGTGATCTCAATCGTCTCTTGCGGGCGATATTATGACCTGGTTCGCTTGCACCAACCCACTCGTAGCCTCTGACACCCCCCACTCTACACGGAGCATTTTCGCGGTGCTGGAGGAGGACAATCGGCGAATAGCCCGGGCCAAAGCCAAGGAACAGGGGCAGCGCCGCTCCCACCACAGCGGCCCCGGGAGGACCACCCCCGGAGCAAATGACAAAGCGTTCGGAATGGTGAGACCGTTCTCATCTACGTTCATAAAGTTTTGGAGTCGAGAATACTAGGGTGGACCCTTTGCCATCTTTACTACCCTTTGATCCACACCAACGTCGCCTACAATATTACCGGATTTAGTGCTGTTGGCGAGGATCTGCTCGGGCCGTTGATATCAGGGGCCCAACCCGCCGTGTCATCTACGTGGTACCCGAACTCACCACGTCTGCCTTTGCTGGTTATTTAGATTTAAGGCCCGGCGAGCGTGGCTTCGCGCATGATCTATTTGGTAGTCTCGCCTGGTGACAGCTTACCACAAACAGCTGAAAAAAGTCACTTTCGCAAGACCTACACCACAGGTTGTAGTACTTTGGGGACCACCAGGCGAGACTACCAACCCGTGGTGTAGGTCTTGCGAAAGTGACATTTTTCAGCTGTTTGTGGTAAGCTGTCACTGCCCGTGATGTTTTAACATTCAATCTGGTTCTTCCTCCCGGAGCGTGGCTATGCTGAGTTGTTGCCACCAGCCCTTTTCCCGTGCACATTCGGGTTTTTGGCCATCTTCCGCTGGCGGACTGATTCCACTGCGGCTATGTCGTGGCATACTTCGACGTGTGTGAGGCCGCCCATTTCGCGGCGTACTTGTTCGCGGATTAGTGAAGTACAGAAATCCTTGGTAGTGCAGGCGTGCGTCCGGTTGTCGGGCACATTTCGCGTTGGTAGACGTAATATTTGCGGCAGCGGACCAAGTATACTGCCCTGAATAGGACAAAGTTTTGTATATGGTTCATGTATATGGTCCATGTATATGATATCTGTTATTCTTCGCGTGAGTCCTTGTTTGTTCTCCATGTGCGGATACCATCTATCGGGTTCCACGTTGCTTGTGATGATGAATTTGGTTGCGAGTAGGTCGACCATAGATCCTTTGATTGGCACCTTAATCGGATTTTCAGACAGCCATCTAAGCATGTCGCAATATTTCTCGGTGCCATAGAAATCGTCAAAGATTACGAGCTCCTGTCCATACTGATCTTGCCGTGTGGGATTTTCCCGTGCCAGGAGGGCCCCACAGGACAATGACTTAGGTTACGTTCGCCCGACCTACGCCACAAGTCATAACCTTTTTGAGTTGTTCGTGGTATGCGGTAACGGCTCCATGGTGCTTGAGCATCCAATCGGGCTCTTCTTCCCATAATTTCGATGCTAATTTCGCGCCACCATCCTTTGTACTCGGGTTTTTCTCCAGAAAGTGCCTCCGATTGCCATATCTTCCTTTTGACAATATTCAGTCGCCGCTTTTATGTCGTTTGCGATTTCCACGTGGACTAGGCCTCCGAATTCTTTGGTTATTCGGGAGAAACTTTTTGAAGTAAATGAAACAATAAGCGCGGGAGCGTGTCGTATTTTGGTTAGCCATTTTTCCAATTTGATCAAGTTTGTAGCCATCCCGCCGTTGTCCTGTGGGTTTGATGTAGTAATTATCGCACACTGATCTTGCCGTGTGGGATTTTCCTGTGCCAGGCACACACACTAGTAGCTATAGCTACTAGTGTGTGTACAAACACGCGCAATTAATTTTTATATTACAAACATCGAACACTGCGACTTGCCCGGCAAACACAACAACCAACGCACAAGAGCTTTTCTTTTCACGTCATATGCTAATGTGTTAGAATAGGAAGCTGGCGCCATTCCCCCCCCCCCCCCAAAA